GACAGTGGGCAGCAGGAGGCCAAGGAGTCACATAGAGCAGCGTGAGCCTCGGGCAGAGCTGGCCCCTTGAGAGGGGCTCCCTGTGGACCCCCAGGCTCCCGGCCCCTGTGCGGGTGGCCAGCCCCGTGCTGTGCTCCACAGCAGTCATCTCGATCTACCTGCCTGACTCTGGGTCTTCCGGCTCTGGGGGTGACAGATGCACACCAAGGGGTCAGAGCCGGGTCCAGAGAGCGCCGCACACAGCAGGCGAAGCCCCCTCTGCCCCCGCACCCTGCAGCCTGCCTTCTCCCCTCCGCTGGGCTGCCGCCACACAGCGGTGCCCCACGGAGGAGCCGCTTCTGCAGCTCAGGTTTGCTCTCACAGGGGTGCCCGTGCCTCCTGCCTGGGTCGCTCATGAGTGCTTGAACTCAGGCGGTCACAGTGGGGCTGTCCCTTCCTCAGCCTACTTGTCCCGCTGCTGCCGTGTCCATCCCTGGATTCTGCCAGTGCAGCCTGCATGCTACCTACCCCCTCTGCCCCAAGCCCACTGCCCCCCATCTAGCCCCACCCTCTGGCCACTCCCACAGCCCCTCTCACACCATTTCCCCAAGAGCACCCAGGGTCCTCCATCCCTCTGCTGCCTCCCCAGGAAGCCCTCCTAGGCTGCGCCAGCCCCGTGGCAAGGGCCACCCCAGCTTGCCCGTACCTCTGGATCCTTCATCTTTGGTCCCCACACCAGAGCACACTGGCAACACCACAGGTACTGAGCTCTTCATTAAGCCCTGGGCACCCTAATGTCTGACCCTAATGGTGACAGATCTGGCCCCCTCCACCCCAAGGTCCCTGAGCCTCCATTTCCCACCCCTCAAGCCTCTGCATCCCAGCCCCCTCTCTCCCCCCGGGACCCATCTCTTCAGGCTGGTTGGGGGCATGCGGCAGAGCTGTCTGGGGGAGGGCAGGTGCAGCCTTCTCCCCGGCCTGGAGCAGGAGGGGGGACTTCCAAAGGGATGGCCGGGCAGGGGCCACTTCCTGATTCTCCTCCGGGAAGGGCTGTGCTGCTTTTGTCCCAATAACCCCTGGACTCAGCATTAAGGCTGCCCCCCTTGATGGGCAACCCTGGCTCTGATCCGGCCCCTGGGGACCTTGCTTTGTCTTAGAATGGGCTGCCCCCACTCCCACCTGCCATCGCCTCCATAGCTTTGAAGCAGAGGCTTCGGTGCCCACGTATGGCCCGGGCCCTCAGCTCAGCCCCTCCCCCAGCGGCCTCGTCGCCATGGAAATGGCACCAGCCTCCAGGAGCTCCCGGGACAGAGGCACTGATTCATATCTGGGGTCTCCGAGGACCATGCGTCCTCCAGGGTCAGTCCCCTCAGTGTGGCCGGGGGCTCAGAGCTACCCCATGGGGCCTGAGGGCTATCAGGGTCCTCACAAGCCCCCCTGTGACACATCCCCATGGCCCGTTCTGGTGCTTCGTCCAGTAGCAAACAGTTCTGCTGAAAGTCTGAAGGGTTGGCGGGGACAGCGAGACCCCTGTGTGTCCCTCCAGCCCCAGAGCCTGGGCTGGGCTCCGTCAGGGTCATCTGTCCCCCCCCGAATAAGCAGAGGTCAGAGGCCCCGCAGGCCCTGGTTGGGAGCAGCGGGCACGAGTGGAGAGAGTGGACAAAGGACACGGCCCATCCCCCAGGGTTGCAGCCTTCCCCACTCGGGGAGCCGCGTACTGAGGGGCTGCTCCTCTAGCCCGGCTCTCTGGGCCAGGAGGCTGGCCCACAGATCGAGGTCTGGGGCCAGCTGCACACAACTCCCTCCCCTCCCCGCAAGCCCCGGGGCCCACCTCTCCAGGGTGCTGTTGGCTGGGGAACATGCGGTAGAAACCCCCCAAGTGACCGCCCTGTGGGTTTACCCCCGAGTTCCTCACAGCCCTTGCAGGCACCTGCAGGGCTCCAAGGGCCTGGGTCACTCTTCCCAGTGCTCTTATTCACCCTCCTGCTTCCCCCAGCCTTAAGCCACCTGCAGGCCTGCCCAGCCCAGCCCTCTATCCGTGGGTGGGCGGGGTGTGCAGCTCTGGGGTTCCCTCAGCCCCAAGAATCGGAGCCACGCTGCTGGGCAGCAATTCCTTCCAAATGCCCCCTGGAAGCCTGCGATGCCCTCTCTGAATGGGCAGAGGGCCCCTGGGTGAGCGAGCCCCTTAGACTGTCACAGCAGACCCTGTTGCGGAGCTGCCCTGTCCTAGGGTGCAGGGCAGGGTAGGGGCTTCCTCCAGTCTTCCAACCTCTGAAGGGGCTGGGGACACAGGCAGGGGGAACAGGCTGCTCCCGGAGGCCCCGGCCACGCCCCGGAGGCGGCAGTTGGTGTGGCCATGCACCCAGCTGCCCTCCTGGTGTGACCAGTGGAGATGCCACTAGTCTTGAGAGGGGGCCCCGACCGGGGCCTGGATGGGTTCCTGCTCTCTTGGGGGCTGAGAGCCAAGGCCGAGGGTTGGGGAGGTGAGGGAGGGACTGCACGTTCTGGAAGGACCCAGTGAGCCCAAACCCATGGAATGAATGCAGTTGGGCAGCACCCAGTGCCGGCAATGGGGACAGGCACCCAGTCCTGTCTGCAGCCAGTGGGAGAGGCGCAGGGCTCCAGGAAGAGGCACCCGGGGGTGGCAGTGCCTGTCCTGGGGCCGCCACCATCTCCAGGACCTGTCCGTGTCTGGATCAGGTCCTTCTGGTCCCCAGAGAAGCAAACTCAGGGCCATGGAAGTCTCCTAACTGCCACTGGCAGCGGTTGGAGGATGAAATTCTTAGGTGGGGTGGCTGTTGGGAAAGAAGGAACCTTGGCTTTGGGAGCCCTGGGACAGGACTGGACTCAAAGGGATCTCTCAGGAGGTACCCACCCCCCACGCCAGCCCTACCCGTCCCCTCTGGGGCTCCCAGCATCGCCGGGCCTCCCACCGCCTGCTGTCCTTTGGGCTGTTTTGCTCAGAGAGTGATGCCCGCCTGCCAGCAGGGGCGATGTGCACAGTGGCCCCACGTTGACTGTCCTCGGTGGGCCCTCCAGACCTCTGGACAACCTGGAGGCCCTGCACGCACTGCTCCGGGCCGGGGCTGGTGGGTCCTGCGGTCATGTGGCCAGGCTCTGCCCCCACCCTGTGGATTCATAAAGTCCTCAAGCCCTTAGCGAACACGTTCCTCACTGCTCTGCCAGCCACCAGCAGGCGGGAGTCCGGACCACGTGGCCCCAGGCTGCCCTGCGGGGTCCTGAGTGACCGTGGGCACCACCCCTGCCCCCAGACGTCCACAGGGTGGGCAGCGAGCCAGCCCCCAGCGAGGCCTGAGGCCTGGGTCCTCCGTCGTGTTCTCAGGGAGCTCCGGGAGGTCAAGCCCCTGGACCCCCAGAGCTGGCCGCGCCCCTCCTCCCGTGGTAATGCCCGCTGACTAGTCTTTTTCTTTTATTCTTAAACCTCAAGCCACCTTTGGTTTTAAATACTCTTTTTCTTCTTTATAAGGGTAATCATTCTCATTGCAGACAAGTCGGAATTTGAAAAGAGTACAGGGGAAAAACCACCCAAACTCCAACACCCAGAGGTAATGGTTAATTTTAAATTAGAATCATACGGCTTTTTCATTGCACATGGGACCCTGAGCAATTTCCCGCGTCATTAAATCGTCTTCAGAAGGATGATTTTTGATCACTGCCCGTTCTTCCTGTGTTTTTGAACATGTGTGGCTATTTTAAATGGGAGAAGATTCCTTGAGTAGAGAATGTGCTATGCATTTCTCATTCGTTCCATTGATTAAACTCCCAGAAATGGGATCCTCTGTGTGCTCCTGGAGTCTTATCAGAGACTCCCCTCTCGGGGTCTGTCATCAATGTTTCAAGTGATCTCTCCGTGTGAATATCAGCTTCTGGATGCTATTCCATTGGCTGCCGGGAGCTCATATCTGAGCCCAGGGTGGAGTCCTCCCCGCACCTGACCCTGTGTGTCTGGGGAGGCTCTTCCCTTCTAGGAACCTAAAGCATCGGGGAGACAGATTGAAGGCAGATCCTAACAGGGAAGAAAGGGAGGCCCAGGCTTGGAGATGGGGAGGGCAGAGGGGTGAGGGAGTGGGAACACAGGGCTGTGGGGCAGGAATGCCCCAGGCAGCAGTGCCCTTGTACGAAGGTGGGTGGCAGTGCTGTGACGGGGCCAGGAACTGCCCTGGCCTTTGTGGCCCTTTGGGGGAGGGCGCTGGGGGCCCGCAGTGGACAAGGTGGCAAAGAGGGGCGTAATCCTGCCCTCTGGCCAAATTGTCCCCTCTGGGGCTAGTAACCCTGGGCCCTCTAGCTTTTCCTCCTTGGGGCACTGTCCCGTTCGCTGACTTTGGTCTGGCCTTACCTCCCCAGGAGGCCCCAGACTCTCTCCCAGTGTCACTTCCTACATGGAAGGGGACACAATGGCCTTTCCATCCTCCGTGAAAGTGGTTTGGGGGACCAGCTTGCAGATGAGGGGTTCAACTGCCCAGAGAAAACTGTCTCCTCTAAACAGCAACAGCCCCCCCAGCCCAGCCAAAGCCAGTAGCTGGTGTGCTGGTCAGCAGGGTCTTTGTGCAGCAAGCGCTTCTGCGGGGGAGGGGGGCTGAGGGGGAAGCTAAGGGTCACAGGAGAGCAGTGACTGCTGGGCCACTAGGGAGGGGGCCTGAAGGGCATGGCTGGGGCGCAGGGGAGCGGGGACAGGGCCCGGCCCGCGGGGGGCTCGGGGGAGGGACCCGTGAGGGGTGGGGCCAGGAGGGTCTGGACTGGAAGGGCGGGTCAGGTGTGGTTCTGGGCGGAGTGGGGCTGGGATGGAGGGTGGGCTGGAGCGGGGAGAGGTGGGAGGCAGAGGAGACCCTGAGGCTGGCAGGAGGAGGTCCTGAGCCGCAGGCCAGGTGCAGCAAACTGCAGGCCCTGAGAATCGGGGCTGCCTGCGCCCATCCCAGGGGCTGGGCGGGGGGAGGGGGTCGGGGGCTGGACGCCAGGTGCTCTGCTGGGAGTCCGGTTGCAGCCCCCACCTTTGTGACCAGGTAGGGGGTTGGGTCGTGGACCTTGGGAAAACACTTGAGCCGCCCCCACACCCGCCCAGCGCTGCGGGGACGAGCTGGTGGGTGGAGACCGAGCTGGTGGAGGGCTGGGAAATGCGGGACCGAGCTGGTGGGAGGACCGAGCTGGTGGGCGGGGACCGGGCTGGTAGGAGGCTGGGGAGAGGGGCGGGGGGCGGCCAGAGCCGGAGGTCAGGCCACGAATAGTAGAGGGGCATCCGGCTGTGCGTGAGGGCTGGGCGCCTGGGGACAGAGGAGCCAGGGACAGTTTTGGGGAGTCCTTAGGAAAGAGGCCGGAGGCGAAGGGAGCAGAGGCCTGGTGGGGTGCTGGTCATGGAGGTCCCGCCTCCCAGGGAGGGGCTACGCATTTTGAGGTGGGAACACCCACCCATCCTGCAGTCACTGGCTGGGTCCAGGCAAGTGGGGGCCCGGGGGCTCCAGGAGGCCACGAGCCAAGGTGGCAGCCTGTGGTTAGAGACGGAGGCGCGTCGGAAACGCAGATTCTGCTGTCCTAGCGCCCACAGGCCCTGGCTGCCCCTCACGCTGGGAGCCCCTGGAAGTACAGGCAGGGATGGAGACGCCCGGGGTTGGCACTGCCTCCCAAAGCATGTGGTCTGCCCGCCTAGACCCAGAGAAGGGGTCACGGTCTGGTGGTGGCCGGGCTGGGCGCAGTGGACCCCAGGAAAGTCCCGCTGAGCTCCTGCGGCCCGTCCTGTGGCCCGCAGGCCTGACTGCCCCTGAGGGGGCCACGCCTTGCTGTGCATGTAAGGGTGGGGGGCAGGTGGTCCCTGCCACCTGGACTCTGCACTTGGAATCACAGAGCCTCTGGGGTGGGGGCCTGGGGGGCAGGCTGGGGCCCAGGGGCCCTGGAGGACCGGTAGAGTTGGGGGAACCTCAAATGTTAGCCCAAGTTAGGAACCAGCCCCTCCTCCTCCCCAGGTCCCGTGGAGGCCTCGGAGCTGCTGACGGGGCGTGGGGGGCCTGGCCCGGGCTGGGGTGGCTGACAGACGGGGAGCTGGCCGCGCTGGCCCTGCTCCTGCAGGTGTGAGAGAGGCTGCCCCCTGCCCTCCCAGGACCCGTCCTCCCGGAGCGCCATGGCAGTCGCACCTAGCGACGGCTTCCACCGCTCCTCCTGGCGGTCCAGCTGCCTCTCGCCTGAGGCGCAAGAGCTGGACGTAGGTGAGCAGGACTGAGCGGGGCCTTGGGAGGCCTGCTGAGCTGTCCCTCCCGGGCCTTGGTTCCTGTCACCACGGCCAAGTGTCAGCCCCACACAGCCCCTCCCCTCGGGGGTTCCCTCCTGACACTGTGTGGGTGAGCAGCAGACAGAAACTTCTGGAAGGGCTTCAACAGTCTACCAGGGGCCAGAGCCGACCTGCAGAGCTCACCCAGCACCTTGCTCTCCCCGTCCCCAGAGGCCGCCCGGTCCCCGCTCTGTGCTGCCCGTCCTGGGGTCCTGGGGTCTTGCCCCTTCGAGGGAGGCACAGGGTGGCGTCACCCCTCGCCGTTGCCCGTCAGGGTCTGGGGGCACAGAGCTGGCCCGAGAGCCAAATGAACACAACCGTTTTGTGTCAGTTTGGGGTTCCGGTGCCTGGCGGACGCAGACCCTCAGCAAGCATTCAGTGAGTGAGTCAGCGAGTGAGCCTGCGGGCGGGCAGGCGGCTCCCCCGTGCTGGTCAGAGCCAGCAGTGCACCCCCCCCACAACAGGAGCACTCACTGAGGCGGGTCCCTGGCTGTGGGTGCCAGGCTGGGGGCTTCTCAGAGCAGGCTGGGGAATGTGGGGGCCTGCAGAAGGCAGGGGACGCAGGCACCGCGGGGCCCACGCTGCGCATGACCACCTGACCCAGGCACGCGACCTATTTCATTCCCCGCAAACACTGGCTTCGCAGCCCTCTGCTTTTCTGATGAAAGAAGTCTTGATTATCTGTGGCCATCTGGAAACCGGTCTTCACTGCTATCACAAAGCCTTTTTGTGCCCATGAGAGAAGCACTCCTGTCTCTGAGTGGTCTGAACGTACTTTTCATTTGCACTTGAGAAGAGTTTCTAGATCACCTTTCCAGGAGGACAAATTGCCACCTCCACAACCCCTGCAGTAAGAGGGCGTCTCTCTGCACACTCTGGTTATCTTTGTCTCGATGAGAGGAAAGACCCTCTTCCCTGGTTTCAGTCTGCGGTCCTTTCATCACTGGTGAGGCGGCCGGGGCTGCCTTGGGCTTCATTTATTGGCCAGCAGCTCCATCCTCTATGTCTGTATTCCAAATGATGGTGCAAATCCTTACCGACTGACTGACAGGTGTATGGAGAGTGACCTTGGTTACAGAGGTCACAAGTGTGTTTTCAGCGTTTACTGGTGGGTTGTGATGCTGCCTGGGGCCCCGAGTCCTTGTCGCTGACTCTGAAAGCCCCCTCCCTCTGGTTTCTGCCTCCGCGCTGTGTGTAGAAAGCCTTCTCACGTCCCAGGATTCCGAGGCCCCAACTCCTCAGTCTCCTCTGTATGTTTAGGGTTGTAGTTTGGAAATGCAGCTATCAGGACGGGCTGCCCTTTCCTCGGGCGGGCGCAAGGAGCAGGGTCGAGGTCCAAGTTAGGTTTTGGCCCTGCGCGGTTGGCACTCGTCGCCCCCACCTCTCCTGTAGGGGGGTGCGCCATGGGCCCCTCTCCTGGACTGGGCTCTGGCTCTTCCCCCGCCTCCAGGTGGAGTCTCAGCCTCGGGGGACGTGTCTGCCCTCCGAGCAGGTTTTCAGAGCCTCCTGGCTGTGCTCACTCATCTGTCCCGCAGGTGTCTTGTGCACCGGGCGGTTGGGCTGCTGTGACTTTGGGACCCAGCCGGAGCAGGAGCCCCGAGGTCTGGGCTCCTCTGTGTCCCCGCACCACTGCCTCTCTGCATCTCCGCGTTCTGCAGACCTCTCAGGCAGGGTGGTGGCGGAGAAGCCCCTGTGCCACAGCCCGCCCTGGGAGGAGGCCGTTGTCAGCAAGATCAGGACCATGACCGTCTCGGAGAGGTGCCGCATGCTGCAGTCCATCCTCTGCTGCCTCCAGCAGGACGGCCAGGTGGGCGCTGATTCCACCCTCTGCCCTGGGGTGGGGGGCTCCCTCTCCACCCTCTGCCCTGGGGGGCTCCCTCTGTACCCTCTGCCCCGGGGAGGGCCTCCCTCTGTACCCTCTGCCCTGGGGAGGGGGGCTCCCTCTCTACCCTCCACCCTGGGGGGCTGCCTCTGTACCCTCCACCCCGGGGGGGTGCTCACTCTGTATCCTCCGCCCCGGGGGGCTCTGTACCCTCCACCCTGGGGGGCTCCCACTCCACCCTCCACCCCGGGGGACAGCCCCTCCCCACTCTGCCCCGGGGCCTCAGAGTCCACTCCGCCCGCTGCAGTCCTGACATCCCTGACCCCCGGGGCATGTTCAGGGGAAGGTTTCCAGAGGCAGGAGGGAGTCGTGATGGGCACAGGTCAGGGCAGGTGGGTGCCTGTCAGCTGAGCGAGGGCCCGGCCCCCTCAGGGACCTGGATCCATTCGCTGCTGCCCCTGGGCCCCTGGGGGCTCCCAAGGACTGAGCTTTGCTGGTGCCCCTCTGAGGACACAGGAGACGCTGTGCTCAGGCCTCCTGCGAGGGTCTCAGGCTGACCTGGGGGGCGGAACCAGCGCTTCCCTGATGCGCCCCCCTGCTCCAGCCGTCTGTCCAGTGTGAAGGCCTGGAGGCCTGCGCTTACAGAGCGGGGGGAGCAGCACAGCTCAGCCCAGCCTCCTGGCTGGCAGCTGACCCACGCACAGGAGCCCGGCTTGGGAGTGGGTGGAGCATCCAGCCAGGGAACAGCCTGTGCAGAGGCCTTGATGCCTGGAGACAGCACGAGGCCAGCCCCACTCACCAGCCGTGATAAGGGTTTAGCCTCCGTCCTGTGGGTAGCTGGCCACCAGGGCCCACGCTAGGGTGGATGTGTCTAAAATCCACCTGGAATGAGTCCCTTGGAGGGTTGTTGTAGGGCTAGCAGCCCCCGCCCTCTGCTTACCCTTTCTGGGATGGGTTGTGTGTTCTCTGCCCACCCGTGAGGTCACCGCAGTCCCTGAAGACTCCCGGTGGCAGGCCTGCTGGGCCCGTCTGTCCTGTGCACTCTGGTCTCTGGGGGGCTGGGGGGGGTCGGCGAGCACTGTGCTCTGCCTGCAGCTCGTGCAGAAGGTGAAGGTGTCAGATGCCAGTATCCAGGAGGTCCTGGAGCCCTTGAACCTGGACTTCAGTTCTCCTCTGGAGAAGGTCGGTGCCACGGTCACCGCCCAGACCCTCCCCTCCTCAAAGGCCTTCTCAAAGACCCAGCCTGGGAAGTACTGGAAAGGCAAGGGGCGGCTCTGCTCACACCTTGGCTGCTCCAGGACCTGACCCCAGGGCAGGAGAGGCGGCCAGGCCTCAGGGACATGGGCCTCGGGGCGTCAGTGCACCTGTGTGTGCAGCCGCTGCATGTGGGCCCGTCCCGTCCAGGCCTGGGTCTGCCTTGCCTGCCCCTCCCGGGCCCTGCACGCTCACAGCAAGGGGGACTCCTGGTGATGCTGGTCTGTTCAAGTCATGCTGCCTAGTGCAGCATGTACTAATTTCCATCAAGAGAAAAATGAAGGGGCTTCTAGAAGATTCTGAGTGCAGCCTCCACCTCGCCTGAGGGGGGGTGGGGGGCAGAGGGGGCTGGGGTGCCTTGGGCTCCCTCAGGCCCGTGGGCCAGGCCCCCCTCCCACTCACCTGGATGCTTTGTGACCAAGGTCCAGGCCGCCCTCCCCATGGGGACTCTGTGACTCTTAACAGCACCCCAGCCCTTTTGCAGTAAACAGGGGCCACCGGTGCAGGCGCTGACTGTGAGAGTGGGGACTGCCCAGGGCATGTCCAGGCTCCATCCTGGCTGGGCAGCCCCCAGGGTGCAGGTTATCTCACAGGCATGGGCTGTGTCCTTGGGAGGGGTGGGTGGGCTACAGGGCACTGCCCTTGGGGACGGGCTCATGAAGGGGTCCACTGGCCCCCAGGGCATCTCGCTGGCCATGGGCATAACGTCCACCTCTCACCTGGAGCAGGTGTGGGGCAGGCTGGAGCACCTGAGCCGCACCAGGTTCCTGAGGTCTGCGCCGCTGTCCACGGACAGCCAGGTAGGAACCGTGGCGCGGGGGTGGGGAGGGTGGGGGCCTGGAGCGCGTCCCTGGTCACTGGTGCTGTCTGAGCATCAGTTTGCTCATGGAACCTGGGGAGGCGAGTGGTCCCACCCAGCCACCTTCCTGAGGGGCTGGAGGTAGGGACTCAGGTCTTCCTATCCTGGCGGGCCAGGCAGATATGAGCCTTGCCCCGGGGGCCCCACACAGGGGGCTCCAGAGCCTGGGTCGGGCTAAAGGCAGGGGCCGAGGGGCCTGCCCTGACCTCAGGCAGAGTGTATGGCCCCGGCCACGCCCTCGCTAGGGCGCCAGGCCTGGGAGCCACGCTGAGTGGCTGCACTTCACCTGCCTACCCTGCCCGGGTGCCTCCGCTCAGAGAAGACGGGCTGCTCCAAGGAGCCGGGGTCCTGCCGGGGTGGGTGGGGGAGCAGAGGGCTTGGCGGGCCCTTCCCAGTGCCCGAGGCCCCGCTCCCGACTGTGCTCCCTGCCGCGGCAGCTGGAGTCAGACCTGCACTGGAGGTGGGTGAGCAGCACCGCCCTGCTGTGCTATTGGCAGATGGCCATGCATGCCGGGAAGCAGGTCCTGCCCTGGGTGGACAACATCACTTCCAGGATGGTGTACTACTTCTCCTGCAGCAGCCTCGTGAGCCCCACCGGGCCTCGGGCAGCAGGGTGGGGGGCCGTGAGGGTGTGTGCACGTGCATGTACTGTGCGTGCGTGTGCATGAGTGCTGAGCAAGACAACCCTTCCAACATCCAGTCTGTTATGCCCGATGTCCAAATCCCCGAGTGGGAAGAGAGAAGGCCTCCAAGACAATGCAACTCACAAAAAGGGAAGTTTATTGCTGACTCAAGTCAGGGCTCCTGCCACATCCAATGCAGTGGTGCGGGGTCAGAGAGCCCCGAGCCCAAGCTGTTACACAAATTTATAGGGTCAGCATAAGCAGTTGGTAGCTGGCTTAAGCGGATTGGTTACATGTTTGCAAAGCAATTTTATTGGTCCAAACTTTCGTGGGCTTTTTTCAAACTTGGGCGTTCGCGGGCTTTTCAGCTTTCCCCTGATAGATTCCCTTTTTCTTACTGGGCGCATGTTGATTGGCTGGCTCCAGGTGGCCTGATGGGGGTAGGGAATCTTACCATTTCAGGGGAAATCTAAACTTAGGTCCGGGCCGCCTGTCATGGTGTTAGCCCTGGCAGCCTCACACAGTCCTTGTGTCCACCCCCTTGCCCATCAGGTGGTTGCACTGATGGCGCCTGGAAAGCAGGGCCTGGTGGGAGTCAGTTCTGAAAACAGGGGAGCAGGGGCTGAGTATGAGGCGTGGTGGCCGGGGCTTTGTGTCCTTTCCTCACCAGCGGCTGACCTCTGACCCCAGCCCACTCTGAACCCTGACCCTGGTTGCACACTGAGTGCCGACCTCGACCTCAGAATGACTTTCAGACCATCACTTCTTTTTCTAAAAAATGTCCGTGAGTGAGAGTGAGAATGGGCCAGTGCAGACTTCACACAGAGGGCTCCAGGCCTTTTAAGCCAGGCGGTGTGTGCGCGAGTGTGTTGTGTGTATGTTGTATGTGAGGTGTGCCTGTGGTCTGTGTGTGCCATATGCACAGTTGGTATTCATGTAAGTGCACTAGTGCATGCTTCATGTTACATATTTTGCAAGCTGTCAGTGTTGCATGTGTTATGTGTGTTATGCATGCATGTGGGCAGTTTTTGTACATGTGTGCATTTTGCATGCATGTGTTATGTGTGGGTGTGTGTGGCAGTGGATATGCCGTGTGTGCAGTGTGTGTCTACATTAGGTGTGCAGATGTGCTGAGAGCTGTGTTGTGTGTGCTACCTGCATGTGCTGTGTGTGCATTGCACGTGTGTGTGTGCTGAGGGTGCGTCCTCTGTACCGTGTCTGTGTGGAGCTGCTGTGTGCGCGCTGTGGGCACTGCTCGTTGTGTGGGTGCTGCCTGTACACGGGCCAGGCAGGCTGAGCGACGGCCCACCCTGGGCCCCTGGTGGGGCTCCGGTCTGTCCGCCTGGGCAGGACAGCACCCTGAAGGCGAGCTTCCTCTCGGCCTCCATCATGCTGGTGAAGGCTCTCAGTCAGGAGAGCAGTGCCCGGAGCTACAAGTTCACGCAGACCCTGGAGATGATCCAGTGTCTCCTGGTCAGTGACCCTAGGGGCCTGTGCGGGGATGGAAGGCCGGGCAGGCAGGTGGGCGCCTCCCCCATGCTGGCTCCCACCTGCCCCCCAGTGCATCCTGGAGAAGGAGCCCAACTTCCTAGCCAACCTCTTCCGGCAGAAGATCATACTGGTCATCATGGAGCTGAGGTAATGTCTCTCAGGGTCCAGGAGCGAGGACAGTCAGACCTCTGAGTTCTGGTGGGGGTCAGTGTGCGAGGAGACGAGAAAGATGTGAATGAGGGCAGGAGCCCCTGGGCCTGGCACCAGAGGCTGAGCGGAGCCCAGGGGCCACCGGGTCAGGGACAGTTAGGTTTCCTTTCCTTCTCGTCAAGGTCAAGGTTGATAACATTGGCACAGACTGAGCCCTGGCCCTGGTCACACACGTTACATGTTTAGCCCTGACCCTGGTCACACTGACCTCTGGTCACACTCTGAACCCCACCCGTCTCACAAATTGACCCAGATCCTATTCACAGTGTTGATACTGACCACAGAATCATCCCCGTTTTCTCACAGCAAACGTCACTGAGCCCAAGAGAAGTGAATGAATGAGTTGGGACGGCCCTTCTGGTCCGATTGAGCTCCGTGCTCCCCACGGCACCCCACCCCCACCCCCACCCAGCCAGAGTCCCCTCCCTCACTTTGGACTGTGTTGGCCTCTGCCGGCCATCTCTTCCAGCCACTTACGGCCCCGGCTCAAACCCACAGTCAAGTCCAGAATCTTGCAGACCTGCCCGCAGAGCTTGTACAACCTCCCCCCCGTGGAGATGCTGAAGTCCAGCCTGCCGCCACTGGAGCTGGCCCCAGACGTTGTGGTGACTGGCCCACTCCTGGGGTGGGGTTCCGGATGCTGGGCCACATGGGCGAGTGGCGGAACAGAGCAGGGAGTCCCAGGCTCACGTGCTTTTCAGCCCAGCTTCACGCAGACTTGCTTTGACCTTGGAAAAACCCTGGATCTTTGGGCTCAGCCCCTCAAATGGGGCTCTGGTCTCCATGCCAATAGTGTTCCGTGAGAATCAGAGGGTGCTGGGGCGAACGCACAGCCGGAGATGAGCGGCCAGGGTCTGTTCAGGCCCCAGGTCTGCTCCGCGTGGCATCTGCTCCCAAGGTCCCACCCCTGCCTGAAACACACGCTCACCATTCCACACACCTCACTCAGGCTCACCTACATCCTTGGCACAGCTGTCACAAGCCCTGCCTGGAGCCGCTGTCAGCATGGGCACCTCCTTTTAAATTTCAAATGAGTATCCTTGCTAGTTTTTTTCAAGGGGATTATAGGTGCATAGAATCAGATGATCATAATCCTTGGTTGTGATATACTCCTGTTGTTGGTCCATGTTATTAGGTTTAGTTATTTACAGTAACAAAACATCTTATCCCAAACCAAAGCTAGTACCTTGACAATAACTTATAAGTAACCACATGTTCCCCCATCTCATCTGCCTCCTACAGCAACAAATTTTTAAAAGTTGAAGTCTAGTTGATTGACACTACTGTGTTAGTTTCAGGTGTATAGCAAAGTGATAGTTTTATATACGTGTGTGTGTACGTGTATATATACACATACATGTGTGTGTTATATATTACACACATGTATGTACACATGTACATGTATGCACACACACATAATATGCGCATATTATATGTGTGTGTGTGTGTGTATACACACACACACACACACAGATTATTTTCCATTATAGGCTATTACAAGATATTGAATCTAGTTCCCTGTTCAATAAGTAAATCTTTGTTGCTTATCTATTTTACGTACGGTAGTTTGTGTCAGTTAATCCTATACTCCTAATTTATCCCTCTCCCCTCCCTTCCCCATTTGGAAACCGTAAGTTTGTTTCCTATAGATTCCATAGGGTTTGATGCATGACTTCTGTGAATAAAGGCAGTTGACTTCTTCCTCTCCAATCTCGATGCCCTTTCTATCTCATTCTCTACTTCCAGCACCCCCTAGAACCTTGAGACGGTGCTGGCCAGCAGTGATGAGGGCAGATGTCCCAATCTTGCTCCTGATCTGTTGGAGAACACACCTATTTTTACATTCAAGCATGCTGTTAGCTTCTTGTCAGGATGAGAAGCTTCCTTTCCATTCCTAGTTTACTGCAAGTGTTTAGGAGGATGGAGGTTGGGCTTTGTCAGATGCTTTTGCTATATCTACTGTGATGATTGATTTTGATATGTTATATTCTCATTTTCACTTAGTTCAAATACTTCCTAATTTCAGTTTAGATTTTTAAAAAATTTGGTCTATGACTTATTCAGAAATATGTTAATTAGGTTCTAGTTTAATTCTTTTTTTTGTCAAAGAAAACACTTTACAGAAGTGTGAATCTTTTAAAATGCCTTGGCCTGTGTTGGTAAATGTGCAGGGTGCCCTGACAGGCTGTGCATCCCGCTGTCCCTGGGGGATGCCTACAAACACCAGTCAGGTGAAGGCAGGGGGTCATGCTGTTTAAATCTGTGTACTCACCAAGTTTTGTGTCTTCTATCAGTGACTGAAAGGGGTGTGGAAATCCTGCTACAGCTGTGGGTTGTCTCTCTCCTGCATCTGTATCAAGTTTGCCTTGTTTATTTTGAAGTTTAGTTCACTTTGAAGCTTTGTTCCACAAACACTCTGGACATATGTCCTCCCGGGGAGCAGACCCCAGCACCCTCATGGAACAACCATCCTTACTGCAGGTCTGCTCTGCTCTGGAGTCAACTTTCTGGTATTAATGGAGCTTGGATGTGTCAGCATCACAAGACTTGTTCCTGTTAACTTATTCGTGTCGTAATTTAAGGTGTCTTTTTTTTTTCTACAGGAAGCATGTAGTTGGGTCTTGCTTTTCTATCTAATCTGGCAGTCTTGGCCTTTAACAGGAGATGGTCATGTTAAACTAACTACACATCAAGATAGTTGGGTTAATGTGACCATCTGATTGTTGGTTTCAATTTGGCCTTTATCTTTTGTTACTCTTTTTCTGTTTTTGTTTTTTAAGTTTCCATTTTATCTGTGTTTTTGGCTTATTTGCAACGGCTCTTTGCTCTCTTATTGGTTGTTTCAGGGCTTTCAGCAGACATCTTTAGCCTATTGCTATGCGCTTCAGGTGATGCTGCCCCACTTCACACGCGGGGGCTCCCAGCACCACCCTGGTTCCCCAGCCCCTGTATTCCAGTGCCGTGCCTTTGCGTCCACACGCGTTACCAAAGCATCGATGCTCTGTGTGCTTTAAACAGCCGGTTATCTTTCAGCAAGATTTAAATAATGAGAAATGTGTCTCATACTTGCCAACACAGTTCCTTTTCTGGAGGCCTTGATTCCTTTTTGTAGATTCAGATATTATGTTTCCATCCTGCATCAAAGCCCTTTTGTCCAGAGACTTGCTGTTCAAAGATCTGACAGTTCCAGCATCTTGGCTGTCCTATATCTGAAAAGGTCTTTATTTAGCTTTGGTTACTGAAGTGCATTTTCACTGGGTACAGAATTCTAAATTGGCGGGTTCCTCTTTTTGTTTTAGTGCTTTACACACTTGACCACTGTCCATCACATGGTTTTATCAAAAAAAAAAAAAATCTGCTGCCATCCTTTACCTTTGTTCCTCCAATAAATAACAGGTCTTTTTTCCTTTGACTGTTCAATTGCTTTTTATTTTTTTTGACACTTTCTCCTTAAGACTGCTTTTAAGCAATTCTGTATGGTAGAGCTTTTGTAATTTTCTTCATGTTCCTTGTGCTGGGAGTTTGTTGAACATCTGGAACTGTGGACTTATACTTTTCACCAAATATGGAGGAGTTTTGGCTATTATTTCCTCACATACTCCCGTCACACACCCCACCCCCATGTCTTGGATGGGTCCTCTAGTACACGTATATTAGACTGCTTGACGTTGACCTGCAGGTCACTAATATTCTGCTTACTTTCTTCTTTCTACCATTTTGGAACTAGAATTATATTTTTGTCAGGGTACTATGTTTCAAGTTTCACTAATCTTTTTTTTCTTTGACATCTCATCTGAATTTCATCCCATGGTGTGTTTTTTATCTCATACGTTTTGGTTTTCATCTTGAAAAGTTCTATTTGGATCATTTTTTCATATCTTGCTTGTCTTTATCTTACAAATTCAAGCTTTCCTCTAGTTTATTAACATGTGGAATACAGTTATAATAAATGTTTCAATGTGTTTGCCTACTAACTCTATTATCTGTCATTCATGGGTGGATTTTGATTAATATTTCTCTTTCAATGTGGGTCATGTTTTCATGCTTCATTGCATACCTGGTAATTTTTAAACAGATGTGTACCATCATAAATGAAGTTTGTTAATGTGCTGTGTATTTTTGTATTCCTATAATTATTTGGGGGCTTTGTTATGATACACAGTTAAATTAATTGTAAGCTCTAAATCTTTTCAAATCTTAAAAAAAAGTCTTTGCTGGTGGGCTAGAGCAGCACTGATTCTGGAGTTCAATCTGCCTCAAAGACACCTCTGGACTCTGCCCTCTCCCCATGAATTAAGACATTCTCTACCCAGGCCAGTGTGTGCAGGCCCAGTCCCAGCATGTTGAACTCTGGGGACCTTCTCTCCCACCCTGGAGGGGGGGGGTCCCACCTTCACCTGTTGAAGACTCCAGGGGACCCTCTGTTCTCTGTGTGCACCTCCCCCGTCCCCGGCTGTCTTGTGGACGCCAGCGGCCTTGGCCTGCAGTGACATACCCCCACTGGGAGGGGGCACAGAGGGCAGACAGACCTGCCAGTGCTGGGCCCTCGGGCCCAGGGTCTGAGGGGAGAAGTGCTCATCACCTCTTTGATGCCCGTCCTCCTCTACAGCACTTAATAGCAACTCCATCTCAAACTCGTTTAGGTATTTATTTTTCTTCTTCAGTCAGTTCAGTTCAGCCGCTCAGTCATGTCCGACTCTTTGCAACCCCATGGACTGCAGCACACCAGGCTTCCCTGTCCATCACCAACTCCCAGAGCCTGCTCAAACTCATGTCCATTGAGTCAGTGAGGCCATCCAACCATCTCATCCTCTGTCATCCCCTTCTCCTCCTGCCTTCAGTCTTTCCCAGCATCAGGGTCTTTTCAAATGAGTCAGTTCTTCACATCAGGTGGCCCAAATATTGGAGTTTCAGCTTCAGCATCAGTCCTTCCAATGAATATTCAGGACTGATTTCCTTTAGGATGGACTGGTTGGATCTCCTTGCAGTGCAAGGGACTCTCAAGAGTCTTCTCCAAACCGCAGTTCAAAAGCATCAATTCTTCAGCACTCAGCTTTCTTTATAGTCCAACTCTCACATCCATACATGACTACTGGAAAACCATAGCTTTGACTAGACGGACCTTGGTCGGCAAAGAATTGTCTCTGCATTTTAACATGCTGTCTAGGTTGGACATAGCTTTTCTTCCAAGGAGTAAGCGTCTTAATTTAATGGCTACAATCACCATCTGCAGTGATTTTGGAGCCCCCTCCCCCCAGTTTTTCTCCTTAGAGTTTTACAAAATGCTCTTGCTTCTCTCCGACTGGCCAGGGAGAGGCTCAGGATCAGGAACCAGGCCTGCTTTCTCCTGTTGTCTCCTGCAGGGGGTGTGATACACGCTCAGTATGCGCCCACTGAAGAAGACAATGGATGCATGGCTAGTGAGCCGTCATTACAAGGGTGCCAACTGTATTTCTGGTTCCTATTTGCATTACAGCATAGACTGTCTCCTTTGATCCTGAGAAATCTTTGGTCCCAGGTGGCAGATTGCAGCACTACTACGCAGAGGAACAGCCATGTTTCCCTCATTTCAACCAGGCTTTATTGAGTGCTCGCCGCAGTCATTCCCACCACTTGGCGTAATCACGTGGCATGGACCGCAGTGATGCAATCACTTACTCATTCAACAATCACCCAGGGGCTCCTAGTGCCAAGTGCCGGCAGGTCTGCGGTTCGCCACCACACGAGTACTGGGGCAGGTCTGCATATGGCTTTGTGTCTGAGTTCACATATCCGGGAACATGAGCCAAAAAATGTTCCCCAGGAGAAGAAAGAAGGGAAGAGGAGAGACAGCAGGGCCCACACCAGGACAAGGGTTTGAGCAGATGGAGGAGGCAGGCCGTGGAGACCAGATCCGGGAGGTGGGAGGGCCACAGGGAGCTGTCTAAGGAGCCAGAGTGGGGTGCTGCCCGCCCCCTGGTAGCACCCATGGCTCGTGGAGCCCGGTTTCCTCCTGGGGTCTTGCAGGCAGATCTGACACCCCCAGAAGCTATAACAGGAAGAGTCGGCATCTGTGGCGGCATTCTGTCTGTGCTCACCCCCAAGGTGCCTCGTGGCAGCTGGGCTGACCAGCTACCCTCTGGCCACCAGGGGCTGTACCAGAAGTCCACGCAAGTGCTTGACCTGCTCCTCCAGGCCTTCGTCTCTGAGAACGAGAGCATGGATGAGATCTGCTTCCTCCTGCAGGTAAGGGCTCCCAGTGCCCATCCCACCCCGGGGCCCACCCAGGGAGCAGGTGAAGGAGGGCCAGGAGGGCAGGTCAGCCAGTGTGCCCCGCACATGTACCCAAGTGCTAGGGGTGTTCGCCTCTTCCCTCAGAACAGTGCGGATCCTGCAAGGAGCAGGGAGGCCCTCTGCCCTTACCTCCGGGAGCCCCAGGGCAGGGAGGATCAGCCCCTGAGGGCTCTCCCCCAGACTGGAGAGGCCGTCCCTCAAACACCAGCCTCCCTCTGCTCCCCCTGCACAGCCCAGGGCCCAGGGGGACACCAGTCACCCCCAGAGCCCCGGGAGCCCCGTGGGACAGTCTTGTGGCCCCATGTGCTTCACCCTAGGGTGCCGGGCTACTGGACAGGCAGGAAAGGGTAATATGCCCTGTGGGCCGTGAGCCGCCCCTACCTCCCCCCACCGCCCCAGCCGCACCCCAGGAGGGCGGGCCTGTGGGCTGAGGTCCCTGGCTCTGGCCTCCACCCCAGCACGCGGAGCCCTGGCTGAAGTCGAGCAAAAGCTACAAGCGCAAGCGGGTGGTGCAGTCTGTCTTCCTGCTCCTCAAGTACGTGGCGGACTACGGGAAGCTCACCGTGAGTGCCCTGCCAGGCCCCTACCCTGCTTCCTCTCGCCTCCCACAGTCCCTGTCCGCTGAACACAGGGGTGGTTGGCGGGCCCTGGGGACTAGACACCGTCCCACCAGGAGCCCAGTCCTGGGGTGGAGGTTGCGGTTCAAATAGAACAGGAACGACCTGGATGAAAAGGCTCCCCGTGAGCAGGACTGGAAGGAAAGTGGGGCGAGCCAGGGGGCTACCTGGAGCCCTCAGGCAAGGCCCGACGGAGAGGGCAGTATTTGAGGACCGGGCAGCCGATACAAGGACCAGCTAGAGGAGCGCTTAGCTGAAAGCTCTCAGCCCCAGGGCCAGCGGTGGAGGAAACAAGACCCGAAGACCTGGAGGGAACAGGACGGGCCCTGGTGCGGTCACTCCACCCTCAGCCAAGGCCCCGAAGCTGCTGAAATACAAGAGTAAACAGAAAAATATCCCAAAGCAGCCAGAAGGGAAGAGTGCACACACACAGGCATGCACACATGCACACGGGGAAGGAAGGACAGGACGTCTACTAACTTCCGGTCAGAAGCAACGGGGAAATGGGGGTCCTGAGGGTGAACAAGGGCCCCTCTGCAGACGAGGCGCCAGCATCCGACCCGCGAGACGCGGAGCACAGGAACCAGCTGAGAGCTGCAGGGTGGGGAGGGACGGTGGTGGAGGCCGGCGGCGCTCACTGCGCTCCTCCCCCAGGAGGAGGCCATGCCCTCAGGGGTGGGCCGCCAGGTGGGCCTGCTGCTGCTGCTGTGGCAGGACCGGGACCAGCTCACCCAGAGCCACTCCCACCAGTGTGTCTACCTCTTCCTGCAGCTTCTGATCCAGCAGAAGGGTGAGCCGTGGGGTAGGGGGAGGCCTCTCTGGTGGTATGGGGGAGGGTGTCATCTCCCAGGCTACAGGTGGCAGGCCTCCTGACCCAGCGTCCCACCGCAGGGAGCATGTCGTCGGAGTTCATGCATCTGAATAAAATGAAGAACTTTGAAGCAAAGGCTCACAAAGATTCTGAGCTGAAGTTCTACAGTTTGGTGAAGGTGAGGGCTGGGAAGTGTGGAGGGTGCTGGCAGCTGGCCTGGGGCTCCTGCAGAGCCCCAGACTGCCCAAGAGCACAGGGTTGGCCTGCCCATTTCACAGACAGGGCCAGTGGAGGGCCTCTGCAGTCTGTGCAGGGGTCAGGTTAGCAAGCGCCCGGTCCCCAGAGCTCTTTCCAGGGAAGCACCCTGTCTTCCCCTTAGAACTCCGCCCCCGCCCCGCTCACCCAACCGTGATGGGTCCCCTTAGGAGACGCAGAATCTGTGGTCTCACAGACATTTTCAGAACCTCCCTTCCCAGCATCCTCTCCTTCTGGCCCCCCGTGGCCCCCCACTAGGGTGACAGCTGGCCTTAACACCCCCTGTCCCCGGTTAGGGCAAGCAGGATGGCTGGTCTCCCTTCTCTCGCCCCCTCTGCACCCCCCTACCCCCACCCAGATCACATCCTCAGGCTCAGCTCTCCCTTCGAGCTGGACTGGAATTCTAGGGCTTGGGTTTGGGTCCAGGCTCTGCGCCTAACTGGCTGAGTACCCTGGTGGGCCTGTTGAACTTTCTGTGCCCGTTTCCCCACCTTCCAAGGGAGGATCACCGAGCCTGGAACCTAGCCGCTCTCAGCACAGACTGGGACAGGAGTACGGATGTCCCTGGAGACCCTCCCTGGGGGCTCACAGCTGAGAAGCCCATCCCTCTAGCGGGTTCCCCAGAGGTGGGGCCAGGGCAGCGCCCTTGACCAAGGAGAGGGGAGGCCTGAGCCAGGCCGGGGGAGGCAGCAGAGCCGGCCCCACCCTGTCTATCCCAGCTAGGGGTGGAGCACGGCTGCTCGCTCTCTGCCTCTGCAGAGCAATTTTCGAGAGAAGGGGCAGCTGTGAGGCTGCAGCAGCCACATTTCTGGCCACTGGGCGGGGGTCCATGACCTGTGGTGGCCAGCTGGGCCGGCACCGACAGCCTGCTGGGGGTAGGGGTTCAGCTGGGCCCTCCAAGGGTCTCTGTAGCCTGTGCAGCTGGCGCTCACTCTGTCCCTGGGTAAGAGCGCACCCCAGCTTCGTCTCCAAGCCCACACGGGGGATGGCCTGGGCAGCGGCTGCCAGGGGAGGACGCCCTCGGCCCTCAGCCTGGCCCCTCTGCGGCAGACCTTGGACGAGCACCTGACGGTGGCGCAGCACACGCAGTTTGTGCTCACGCCCCTGCAAGGGCTGTGCAGCCACGACGGCCTCAGCTGCCACCTGGCCCCAGAGCTGCTCCTGACCATCATGGAGGACCGCAGCATCAAGCCAGAGCAGGTGGGCTGCCAGCGGGGGCCGTGCGCACACTGGGCCTCTTCACCGAGGCCCCCTGAGCTCTGGAGGCAGGAAGTCCTGAGGCTGTTCTTGGCCATCGGCTCTGGTCGGCAGGGCTGAGTTTTAGCCAGGCCCAGGTGTCCCCATCTGGCTGGACTCCTCAAGATCCTAGGCCCCTGCCACAGGCCATCAGAGGAGCACCCTGCCTCTGTCACAGCCTTGTCCAGCAAGAAAGAGAGAAAGGGGCCCCACTCCCACCAAGATTTTAACTGCCCTGGTCTGGCTTGGCCAACCTAGTCCACAGCCCACTAGGAAAGTGACCTTCCACAGCGACGGCCAGGCCCACTGGCCCCTTGAGCTGATGCCCGTTTTCACACGAGCCTGCAGCAATGGCGGGCTTAGCCCAGTTGGGGGCAGCCCCCTTGGGGCCTGCACACGTCCAGACACCCCACTGGCTGCCGGCAGGGACACCCTCCTGGAGGAGACCGGGCATGGGGGCTGCTCCAAGGATCTGGTGGCCCGCCCTCCCTGCACAGGTGGCCGAGATCCTGCAGGAGCTGTTTCAGGAGCTGCCCTGCATCATTTTCACGAGCATCCTGCAGACCATAATGAAGGCCGTGATGGTGCTGGGCATGCAGCACACGCAGCAGACCGTCAAAGTGATTCGGTCCTTGTGCCCTCCCTCAGAGAGGTAGGTTACTTGCGCCCACAGCCCAAAGGTGAACACCCATCCATCTCCGTGGCCCGCCCTCCAGCCCACAGATACTTTCCAAAGAGACTCGGTTACTTGGAAGGCAGAACTGCCCATGCAGTTGCCCCACCATTGCCTAGACTCCAGAGCCAGGGCGGCCAGGGGTCTCTGAAGATGCACCACGCTGAGGGGCTAAGGCAGAGTGTCCCAAGAGGGACCCCTTGGCATGGATGCATCACTTCAGGCTCAGAGAGCTCCAAGGAACCAACCTGCAGAGGGCGGGGAGGTCAGCTGGGGAACGTGACAGCACTAATGAGCCCCCAGCAGCTCCTGCCACTTCTCGGCCCTGAGCACACCATGTCCCAGCCGCCCCCTGGGCTAATGCGGGGTTTCCAGGAGCAACACCGTGAGGGCCATAGCGTCCTGTTAGAAACAGCCTCCGGCCAGCCCCAAGATAACTGAGTCCACAGTGGAATTCTAACCTGACTTGAGTGGTGTGTGAAATCTGAGGTCTAGGGGTGCTGGCAGTCACAGTGCCTCCTGAAGCACCTCAGGGAGCAGCAGCCTGCTGTGGGGTCAGCTGTGCCCCCCGACACTCACCTCAGGGCTCACCTGTCCCGCAGGCTGCTGAGGGGTGCACCCTGCTGGGTACGAGCCTCAGTTTACGAGTGAGAGGACAGGCAGGAGAAGGACAAGGTTTGCTCACATCCTGGGTGATGGGATATGAGGCAGGGTTGAGTGTGAATACTGGGGAGAGCCAGCCCAGACAGAACTTAAAGCAGGGCCCACGCTCCCGCCACGGGTCACCGGAAGATAGCCACTGGACCCCCCAGACTGGGGCTTCTCTGATCCTGCAGGGCCTGGCTACCTCCACTGCCCTGCTGCCCTGGGGTTGTGTCCCTGTGGCCCCTCGCCCAGAGCGGCCAGCCAGCGGGCGGGACTGATCCCCGCCTCCCCAGGCAGGTCACGCCCCTGTGGAAGGCCCTGGCCACCAACAGCCGGCTGGCCCGCAAGGTCATCATGAAGATGAAGCTGTGGCTGCCCCGGGAGCTCATCAAGGCCCCTGTGCAGGCCGAGCTTGTTTCCCTGCTGGTGAGCCCTTCCCCTGCACCCCACCCCCTGCAATGGAGTCTGACATCCGGGGACCCTGGGGAGGCCAGGGTGGTCTGGCAGAGGGACGCCCTGGATGCTGAGTCCCAGGGTGGGGCCAGCTCAAGCCTGGCACCAGACCGTCCTCAGGGACCAAGGGCAGTGCCTGTGCTGCTGCAGGCCCTGGGCACCCTTTACAAACGTCTCACCATACATGAGTACAAGGCCACGGTGCGCTGGGCCTTCGCAGGGATCCTCCTGGGCCTTCTCACCCAGCTCCACTACCTGTTAGAGCTGGATATGGTGGAGGGCATGTCTGACTACCAGGAGGAGGCCTTGGAGGCCAAGGCCCTTAGCCCCTGCAGGTCAGATGCGAGACTCAGCCTCCGGGCACAGCCCCCTCTCAGGACCCGAGCCCATACTTTCTTTCTGGCTCCTTCCACTCACCCCTAGAAGCCCTGGTGGGCAAAAGGACCTGGGCTAAGGTCTGGGGACCCACCCAAAAAGGACAAATCTGGTCTCTCCTGGGGGTCCAGGGAGGGTAGCAGGGGGCTGAGCAGCAGACAGCTGCTCAGGAGGGACGGGTGGAAGGAGGCCGCTTACCCCACCCAATTGGGGGAGTGCAGGTTATGCTGGAGAAGTGGGCCCTTGCCCTCATTCACCCTCTCTCAAGACCCTCCTTGTCCCTAGGACATGCCTGGAGGTCCTAAAGGGTCTCTTCTGGACCACCAATTACTGGGAGGTGTTTGCCCACCTCAAAGTCCTGAGGGGCTGGGAGCTCTTTGAGCACCTGGAAACCTACACTGAAGGGGTGACCCTCCTGGCCAGGTAAGCTCCAGGCCTGGGAGGGGCCTGCCCCAGACCGCACCCATGATGGCCCCCCCACCCCACCCCCCCGATCTTCCTATACAGAAATGTCATCTATAGCGGTGGCAAGAAGTTCCAGCAGGCACTCGAGAGCCGCGCCTTCCAGGCCCTGGTGCCCCTACTCTTCCACCTGGCCCACTCGTGCCCTGAGGTGGTCACGGTGAGTGGTCTGGCTTGCCTGTCGTCGTCAGCTCGCCTTGCGGTTGTAAACCGCCCCAGACGTTGTCGCTGAGACCCTGGCCTGGGCCCTGGAAGGGCCAGCGCCCCGAGGCCGCTCTCCGTGACGTGTGGATGGTCGCCCTCTCCCTGTGTCCTCACGCGGAGGCCCCTCCGTGGGCGCCTGTGTCCCGACCCCTCCTCTTATCAGAGCAGCAGTCATATTGGATCAAGGCCGCTGTCAGACCTCGCTTTAACTCAGTCACCTCCCTAAGGACATTTTCTCCAAATACATTCATACCCTAAAGTCCTGGGGTTTAAGACTTCAACACATGGATCTTGGTGACACAATTCTGCGCATCTCGGGGACACAGGGGCACAAGGACTCTCTAAAGGAGTCATGAGACCAAGGTCCATGGCTGGTGGGGGCTGGTGAGCAAAAGGCCAACACTCTTTCCTTGGGTGCCTAGCCCCTGAACTGGGAGATGCACTCAGGGTTGGGAAGGAGGCCTGGGTGGCCAAGGCACCACTGGAATCCTCCTGTGAATGACAGCAGGACACCTGCGGGTCTCGGGGAGTGAAAACTCTGCCACGGGGGCCCCACTTCATGCCATGGTACAGCTCCCCTGAGGTACAGCTGGGAGGGGGTGCTTGCCGGGCCCAGGAGGGTGCAATGTGGGGGTGGTGACCTGTCTCTGGGCACCCACAGAAGACAAAGTTAACCTTCTTGTGCTGCGCCATCCTGCTGAAGTGGGAGTTCCAGAAGGAGCTATTCAGCAAGTTGGCTTGGGGTCATGGCCCAGGTGCTGAGAACGACATTTTTATCTACATGGTGAGATGCTGGGCTCCCCTGGGGGAGGGGCAAGGAGGCAAGGGAGGTGGAGACGGGCTGGGTGCCAACAGGGTCCCCCGAGGGGTTCCCAGAGTGGGCAGGGCAGATGCCAGCGCTCCCTTGGGTGCCCCTGCCTCATTTCCTGTGGGTGGGTGTTTATTAAATGCCGGCTCCATGTTGGGTTGGAGACTTCAGCCCCTGGGAGGACGCTGTTGCCTCTCTGCCGTGGCACTCAGGGCTTCCAGGGTGGGTCACACAGGAGACCACACCCCGCCACGGGTCTGGACCAGGGAGCCCTGCCAGCAGCAGCCCCACACCGCTGTGGAGAGGCCCTGGGGGACACGGCCACCCCTGACGTCCCAGTGCGGATGTCGGGCAGGCCTTGTAGGTCCCAGCACCGGCAGTGGACCAGACCCTCACCTGGCGTGGAGGAGATGTGTGTGGAGGTGGACGTGGACAGGCTGGGGTGAGCAAGAGACGCTGCAGCTCCACAGCTCCATGTTCCGGGCCCAGGGCGATCCCTGCCCCGGCTGGCCCTGCCCGCCCAGCTGTGGCAGCTTCAGGCTCCAGGCGCAGACAGTGCCCCGCTCCAAGGCCCGGAGGAACAACAGGAGACTGGATCCCCATGCATGCGCCTCTGTCCAGAGGAGACCCACAGACCCGCCTGCACCCTGTGGACTCTGATGGCCCAAAGTGTTCCCAGAGGAGCAGAGGCCATTCCTGGGAGACATCTGGACTGTATGAGGAAGGGGCGACCGGGAGGCAAGATTCCACCGGAGATGGCGTGAGAAGGGCGGGTCCGACAGAGCTGCAGCCCTGCCAGGGGTCCAGATTCCCTGCCTTGGACCAGCCCTGGATCAGCCCTGGACCCAGCCTGGGGTCATGGCCCTCACCCTTTCAGGCTTGGAAGGCAGGGCCAGGGAGCATGAGGGCCACTGCCCATTGCTCATCCGTCTCCTTCCCCACCACCCCAGGTGGACAGCAACTTCAACAGCTACCACCAGTTTCTGATGCAGTGGCTGGTGTACATACATGGACAGCCCCAACAGGCACCTGAAGCTCACAGCCATGAAGTTCATCGGTAGGTGTGGCCATTGCCCAATCCACGTGAAGCCGCAGTCCCGGGCCCTGAGGTCCACTGGGTCCGCCAGCTGGGCACCTGCCCCTTGTCCTTGCCTGCCTCCCTCAGCGGCCCCCACCGTCCCCCCTGCAGGGGGCATCCTGCAGGTCTACTTCACCGATCTCTGCTTCTACCTGAAGAAGGGCGACGTGAAGACTCTCAAGAAATGTAAGCACAGGGCCACCCTGAGCCCCATGGGAACTGCCCTGATGCTGGAGTGGCCTCCCCAGGGCCGGCCGTCATCTTCCCCTTGAGAACTGATCCCAGGACAGGCCGTGACCTACCCACCCCCCCACCCACACCCTACGTGGGCCCTGGGGACAGGCTGTGACTCCCCCGTACCGCTCTGATGGAGCCCCCAGAAGGGCAGTGTCTTCAAAGACCAGATTCCCAGTGCAGGTCCTGTCCCCTCCCTCTGTGCCTGCCCTCCGCCCCACGGCCAGCTGCGCCGCGGCTGGAGGACCCTTGGGTCTCTGCTGCCGACTTCGAGACGCTCAGGCAGGACCCGGGCTCCGTGAGCCGCAAGTTCTACAAGCACTTCTCCGAAGACATCGCAGAGCTGTCGCAGTGCGTCATGACCTGGATCAGCCTGGGGCTGCCGATCCTTGCAGTGTGTTTTGTTGTATTATGTTCTGTATTAAATATGAGGAGTTTCTTCTGGACTCTCTGGGCTCTCCCTACCCCAAGCCCTCCTGGTGCCCCCTCTTCAGCCAGGGCCCCGCAGCCTCCCCTTCAGACCCAAATGCTGACGGGCCCTGGACCCAAAGGGCCGGCAATACAGGGTCCCCAGCATCTCGGCTGGGCGTCTCCTCTGGCTGCGTGAGCCAGGCACTCCCCAAGGGCACTGGGCCTGGAGCCTCAGGGTCGCCTTGGCACCCCGCTCACTCCTCCCCAGCCTCTCCAGACCCCGTGATGCTTCCTCCCAGCTGCTAAAATCTTCCACGTGCTCGCCCTGGTCCAGGCCCTGAGCTCCCCACCTTCCTGTGCCGGCCCCCTGCTAAATGAGCATCCCACCCCCGCCCATCCTGCCCTCAGCATCCTGCTTAAGTCCGAAGCGTGGCCCCGGGACCCTCGGCGATTTGGTCCCCACCTTCCACTGCCTTTTGGTCGAGGTCTGCCCCCTGCCTCTGCAGAGCCTAGGGGCCCTGCCCAGCCCTGCCCAGGGCGGCCATCCTTCCCAGCCCAAACTTCACCTCTTCCCCTGCGAGGTCTTCCCTCCTGCCAGGGCCCAGGTGGGAGTCTCTGGCTGTGCCCAGCGAGGAGCCTGAGCGTCAGCAGTTGGCGGGGCGGGTGGCGTGGAGCCACAGGAGCCGAGGGCAGAGTGTATCTTCAGAGAGAAGGGGGAGTGGTGGGCAGTGTGGAGTGCTCCCGAGGTTGGGGGTAAAAAAATTTTTTTAATTAAAAAATCATGCTTTGCAAAAGATACTGTTGAAAGATCGAAGAGACCAGTCAGAGACTGGAAGAAAATACTGGCAAAACATGTATCTGATAAAGGATATCTAAAACATACGAGGAACTGAAACTCAGCAATAAGAAAATCAACACTTCCGTGTTCCTCTTGTGTGACAGTTGTGAGAGTCTCAGTCCAGACCTCACCCCAGTCCTACTTGGCTGTGAGAGTCTTATGTTGTTGAAACTCATCAAATGCTTAAAATGGATGATGCTTATTATATATACTTTGTATCTCAATAAAGTTGAATAAAAATATAAAATTCAAGAACACACATCACAGTTTTTACGCACAGAAAATGTTATGTATAGCATCATATAATCTGTGGTACACGTTCGGCAGTATTTTTTATTAAAAGAAACCATGTCAAGAAAAAAAAAGAGAAATAGCAGATCAGATGCACACATAGCAACCCAGATGGATCTTTGAGAAAAAAAAATGCTTAGTGGAAAAAAGTGAAAAACAAAATTGAGATATATAGCAATATAATTTAAATAAATTTAAAATATGTACCCTTTTATACCGTGGTTATAGAAGATGTTCACATTACAGGAAGCTTGCAAAGGGTGTAAGGAACCTCTATACTATCTCGGCAACTCTTCTGTAAGCTTATTTCAGAATAAAAAGCTTTTAGAAAACACTTAATTTTTTCCTCCCTAAGAGCACTTACAAACAAAAAAGGCACATTAACTAAATTAGAGTAGTTGCTTATAGGTTGGTGGGAGGATTATGGGGACAAAGAAGAATAAATAAACACGTTAATAAGCCAGAGTGGGACTTGCGTGGGCAGTGGTGATAACGTGCCAGACCTTAATCCTCTGTGGAAAGAAGGGTTTACCATCAACAGATTGAGGGGCTTAGGAAAACATACTCCAGGAGGAAGGAGGAATGAAACCTAAAATACCCTGGTGCGACAGAGTGATTTATAATAATAAACACATACTTGGTCTTCCCTTCTCTGGCACAGAGCGCCCCAAACCCTCGCAAGGTCATAAGTGATGAGGTTTAAAGAGTCTTTTGCATGTCAAAGAGGTGGTTTCTGGACCCACCAGAGGAGAGGGCTGGCTGCCAGAAGAATCAATCTTGGGACAGAGGGAACTGTGAAACTAACCCCGGCTCTGGGGATGGGAGAGGGGCTGGAGGTGGCATCTACGGCCAGAGGCCAGGGCTTTGATCAGTCCATTCTCTGTGATGAAGCCTCCACGCAAGCCCAAAGGCAGGGATTTGGAGGACGTCCGCACTGGTGAACACGTGATGATGGATAAGAGAGATGGAGGAAGCTCCAGCCCTTTCCCCATGCTTTCTGTGCGTCCTCCATCGGGCTATTCCCGAGCCTTGTCCTGCCACCATAACCAGGGATGCAGAGAGTAAAATGCTGCTCTGAGTTCTGCGAGCAGCCCTGGCATATCCACCAAACCCAAGCGGGAACCTGGGAGCCCTGAATCGCAGCTGTTGCTCAGAAGCACAGGTGACAACCTGGACCTGAGTCTGGTGTCTGAAGCGTGTGTGGAGGGAGTAGCCGTGTGGGCCCGAGGCCTTAACCGGTGGGGCCTGCCGCTGCTGCAGAGAGAGGGTCAGAGCTGAGCTGAACTGGAGGACCGCCAGCTGATGCGCAGGGCACGGCCTGCAGGTGGTGTGGGAGAAGCCCCCAAGCACACCCGTGAATCGGAATCGGTGTGGAATCCAGTGAAGTGGTGAGCCAAGAGACTGTCACACACACAAATAAATATAACCAGACGCTGTCTGTTTTTAAAAAAGATAATGCCGTGCCTGCGTGCTTAGTTGTGCCCGACTGTCGGCGACCCCATAGACTGTAGCCTGCCAGGCTCCTCTGTCCATGGGGCTTTCCAGGCAAGAATACTGTAGTGGGTTGCCATTTCCTTTTCCAATTTGCCATTTCCTTTTCCATGGGATCTCCCCGACCCAGGGATCAAACCCACATCTCCTGTGTCTCCTACGTTGCAGGCGGATTCTTTACCTGCTGAGCCATCAGGGAAACCCCCAAAAGATAATAGTATCTAATTAAAGGCAGTAGAAAAATACAGAATGAAAATAATAATAGAAACTATTACCATGTAAGCCCCAAGAAAGTAAGTGTACCAAGGTCCTTGTGTTGTATGAAAGGGGGGTTAATATATTGATAAATTTTGGTCCTTAAGTCAAATAACTGGTTATATCTCAACATCTCAAAGGTAAGCTGAAAGGAAACAGAATCTGTATAGTTTACCAACCAATAAAAGATAAAAGTGGACTAAAAATAAATGTGTTAAATGTAACCACTCCAAAAATCAAGAAAGAGGATTTTTTTTTAAAGTACAGTGAAAACAGGACAAATATAGAACACTAAAGAATATGGGGAAACAAGTCCAAAGATGTTGGTAATTACAAAAAATATGATTAAAACACAAAGCCCAGAGCCTGTTCTTTATAAGCTGAAACACAAAAGGAGACAGAGAAGGCACAGCTCAAACAACTGGGGACTACAAAGGGGACCCACATAGACTCCTCAGAAATCAAAAAGGTGAGAACAAGATGAGCCATTCAGTTCTAATACATTTGAAAACATAGTTGGAATAGGTGGATTTCTGAAAATATACAGCTTGCTAAAAGTGACTAAGGAAGAACTAGAAAGCCTGACTAGTTCTATAATTAAATGCTGATGAGCAGGACTAGTTAAGGGGAGCCAGGGAGGCAGATTCCTGGAGACGCAGGTGGAGAGGGAGTCAGGGTGGGGGCGGGTCCCGGCTGGAGAAGGAGCGAGGAGCAGCGAGGTCGCCCTCCTGCCTGAGACCCCTGTCAGGGGCCAGGCCGGGGGCCAGGCAGGATGGACCTTCCATTGTGCCCGGGGCCAGCGCTCTGTTGTCAGTTGACCTGAGCAACTGTCAGCTGTGTTGTCAGTTGCCCCGAGCGTTGACAGTTGCCCTGAGCTCGGGGCACCACTGACTCGTTCCTGCGACTCCGGGCAAGTTGCCCAGCCTCCCTGCAGGCCAGTCTCCTCCTCTGAGAAGGGGGACGTGAGTAACAGCACTGGATGCCTGCCGTCCTGCCCTCTGTCCCGACAGGGAGTCGTGTGAAGGCTCAGGTCCTCACTGAGGGCCACCTTCTCTGGGAGCCCTGCACACACTGCGACAGTCCCTGCAGGCCTGGGACGCACGGTGGGGACAGCGTCGATGGGCCACACAGAACACTGGAGCAGCTTGCCTGGACTGAGCCTGCCTCGGCCTCGACTGCCCGGGGAGTCCCCGCCCCTGGCGTGGGCTTCCGGCCCGCAGCCCGCCCCGCCTCGGTCTGTCCTGCCCGCTCTGCTCACTGTGCCGCCCCTCTCCCCTGCGCACACCCGCAGCAGGTAGAGGTGGCCTGTGCCACCTCCCTGTGTGCTCTGGTGGGCCTGCTCCCCCAGGTTCTCTCAGTACCCCAGCTGTTGGGAGAGCAGGCCCCAGGTGCCTGCTGGGGCTCAGGGTGGCCCCTACTCTACGGGGGACCAGACCCCCAGGCCAAAGCCTGATGACTCTGGGGGCACTCAGGACTGGGGAGGAGCGAGGACGGGGAGCTCTAGCCAGACTGGGGCAGAAGAGCATCTCTCTCCTCCCCAGGGCTGATACCCCATCAGCAGCCTTTGAGCCTGTGTTCAGAAGGCCCACCTGGGTGCCCAGCTACCCACCCCGCCCCCCTGCAGGCTCAGCCTGGCCCCTCCCCGGGGGGACCATGCCCCTGTTCTGGCTGCCCGCGCTGGCTCTCAGGGTCCCACCCTCTCCTCCTAAGAATCAGCACCGAGCCCCACCCTGTCCCTCCCCTTCCCTGCCCTGCACCCCTGCCCACCCTCCTCCAGCCCGGAGCTGGCCTTTAGCGGGGACTGGGGTGGAGGCTGTCAGTCGCTTCCCCGCTAGGGGCTGGGGGCCTCTGAGCCTGGAAAGGATCTGAGGGGGTCTGGAAGGACACAGGAGCGAGGCAGGGCACGGGGCTGGCAGACACAGAGAGCTAGTGAGTGGACAGGTCCCCGAGGTCATGGGCAGCCCAGCTGTCCTGGCACCCCGACCTCCAGGCCACCCCCACCTACTCTGTGCCCCCGAAGGATCTCCGATTGACATAGTGGGAGAGAGCCCATGGGGGCGCCGCCTTCTGCCTCTTCCCAACTCCTTTTCGGGGTGGGGTCCATATGGTGTTCCCAGGGAGCCATCTGAGCCCAGCAACACCTCCTCCACCTTCCTGGGGCGACTACCACCCCCTGCCCCAGCCCACCCCCTCCCATCCCCAGTCAGGCTGCCCGCTGGCTGGGAGGCCAGGCTTGGGCGTGGGTGGCGGGACGTGGGGAGGAAGAGGCCCTGCCCTCCCATCCCCCGGGCCTGGGGAGTGGCCTGGACTGGACTGTGCTGACTCCCCACGCGTGAGCATGGGTTTCCAGACCGAGGAGTCTCAGGCTCTGTATTTCCAAACTCTGGGGCCAGCGCCTTCCATTGGGCAGCTGCATCCAGCCTGGCAGGCTCCAGGCGTCTAGCTTGAGTGGACTGCCAGGCCCCCGGCCCACACGCGGCCCCGGGGCTGGCAGTCCTGGGGGGGAGGCTGGGGAGCCGCGCAGCTGGGCGCTGACGTGAGCAGAGCCTGCGGGTGCTGCATCCGCCTCTGCCAAGGCCTTATTTGGAGACGCTTCCGCTCCAAGTGGGGCCGTGACTGGCACACTCAGAGTTATTCAGAGGCGCCCCTCCTCTCCTGGCTATTTTTAGGGCCTGAGAAAATAAGTCGGGGAGCCCACTGCTCCCTGGGCCAGGAGAAGTGCCGAGCCAGAACGCCAGCCCCGGAAGGGGGTCTTGGCCGAGCTGCAGGGGAGACCGAGGACTAGTGGGGAGGGGCCTGCCCGAGGTCGAGGCCGCCTGCTCCAGGAGCTTACGGCCAGGAGCAGGGGCCACCATCGGCTTGCCCTGCATGGGGGCTCTCACTGCCTTGGACCCCTCTGCAGGCCTCTCTGAGCAGACTCAGGCAGGGGCAGGGATGCTGCGGTGGCTAGCGGGCAGCAGGGGAGAGGACATGCCAGAGGAGGTCCCGCCGGGGCCAGAATCAGCCCACCGTCTCCCCGCAGGCTGCAGGGAGGGGACTGTGGAATCCCACTGGCAGGGGCTCTGAGACCTCCCGGGCTATAGGCAGCCGGTGGCAGAACCAGAACATGGGTGGGGGCCTTGTGCCACCCACCCCCATGAGCACTGTACTCTGAGTTTTGGGGCGGCTCCAGGCAGAGCCTTTGGTCCCCTCCCCAGGGCCTAGGGGTGGGGTTTTCTCAGAATAAGGCCTTCAGTCAAGATACTTGCTGGGGCCTGGGGAGTTCAGCGGGAGGCCCGGTCCCCCAGATTTTACCTCTGTTCGAAAGCGTGGATGGCCTGGTCACCTCCCAGGGAAGCAGGATGGCTGAGACAGGGGTGGGTGGCAATTTCTGGGCTTCTCAAGTGGTACCCCAGCTGCCCTGTCACCTCAGGATCCACATGGAGAAGGTTCAGGGAGGCGGCAGTTCTCCGGGTCTTCCCTCCCCAACACAGGTCACCGCGAGCAGGTGGGGCAGGGCTGGGAAGGACACTGTGAGCCAGTGGGAGGTTCTGGAACCGGCGCTGGAGTAGGAAGCACACTGGATTTGCGTGGGAAGCCTGGGGGTGGAGGGGTCAATCCTTCCTCTTGAATGAGACCCAGAGGGGCCAGCGGGGGCTAGGAGTGCTCCCCTGGTGGTCATGAGCAGTCCAGACGGCGATGGGGGAGACGTGAACTGAGCAGGTCAGCTGCTGGGGACAGGAAGCATTCCCACCGCACCCCGAGGTTGGACCGCCGGGAGGGCTTCTGACAGCAAGTGTGTCTGCGCTGGACACGGGCCAGGAAGTTCAGAGGGGGAGAGGCAGGTGGGAAGACTTAGAAAAAGCCTCTACCTGCCTGGAGGCGGGCCCACTCCAGGGAAGGGCGGGGGGCCCTTGTTGGATGTGCCTGCACTGTTGGCGCTGGTGACAGGAAAGGGAGTGAGCAGACGGAAGCCAGGTGAGGCCTCCCGTCTCCGGAGTGTGGGTGCTGGTGAAATGTCGGCTCCTGACAGCTCCAGCCCCCGTGACTCAGAGGCTCTAGTCACCGTCCTTATGCACCCCTCCTTCCACCTGTCAACCCATTTGCCCTCCAGACGCTCCCAGCCTGTGGGTGTGGGGGCCAAGGTGACCTGGTGAGATTCTGCTTTTCAATCCCAGAAACCCCTTCAGCAGCATAGATCATGGTGACTGCCATCATAGGCATCACCAGCACCAAAATCACTCCCCACCACTGTCGCTACCTCCATCTCCAACTCCACCATCATCACCGTCACTACCTCCATCTCCGGCTCCACCCACAAAACCTGGGCTGCAGGTCACCACCACCCTGGGCTGCACACGTTCCTGCCCATCGTAGTCACCACCACCGTGCCCAGCCCCACCCCTCTCCCATGGGCACGGTGGTGCTGCTGAAGGCAGACGAAGGGCAGCAGAGTAGACCTCCTCGGCTTCATGAATGACAGGGTACGTGGCTGCCCTTGGGTAACCCACCCATGAGGGCAAGGATCCGGGAATTAGAGCCGGGAGAGTGGGGCTTAGATGCAGCCTCAGCCTCACC